AGGACTCTCGGGCAGATTAGCGGGCGGCGGGCACAGGCCAGCAACTCCAGCATCAGCTGCTTGGCGACCTCGGAATTCAGGTGACAGGTGCTGCAGATCTGGTTTCCCGTTAGCACGGTTGTCAGAAGCGGCTTGGTTGCTCCAAACGCTCTCAGCAGCGACCTGCCTGCCACCTTGGATCTATTTCTCGCTCCGCAGGCCTGGGGCGCTGGGTGCTGGGCCGTCTCGGGCACAGGTGTGTCTGCCTTGTGCGGGGCCGCCCCAGAGCCGTCTGTCCCTGGTCTCCGTGGGAGCAGGTGCCGGGCCCCAGGCTGTGTGCCGGGACGGAGGGGGACGCGTCTGGGCACAGGCTCGACCCAGCCACACGGTCCCCGAAACACGGCACCTGGGGAGGGGCAGCAGGGGCTCTGGCCGAATGCCCCTCGACCTCCCAGGTCAGGAGGGCGTCCCACCCACGCACGGCCTCCATCTCCAGTGCTGGCCGCCCCGCCATGGTGGCCTGGGCTTCTCTGCTGCCCGGAGGCCCCACTGCTGACCCGAGCACCCTCCTGGCCCTCCCCGCCCGGCCCCTGCCCGGCCCGGCCCCTGCCTGCACTCAGCCCTCCTGCTGGCTCTGGGGCTGCTCTCTGCTCTCTGCCGTGGGTTGTCCCTGAGCCCCTTTGACTGAGAGCCGAGCCCAGAGCTGCGCCAGGGATGCCGGCGTTCTCTGCCGTCCCCAGGGAGGGCGCCGCAGGAGCGAGACCTCCGCCTGGCTGGGCAGGCCCGGGCGTGCCAGGCGGTGGCAGGCAGGCGCAGGTGTGCCCACCCGCCGTCCGTCCTCTGTGCCCCACCCTGACCCACCCTGACCCACGGCCCTCACAGTGGCCCCACCTGCACCTCCGTCACCTGGGAGCCGTGGACTGCAGGTGTCGGGCTCTGCCCCAGACCACACATCGGGGCTCTGTGCAGCCCTGGGGTCCCGCACAGCTGGCGCGGAGAACCCTGGGTGTGAAATGCCGAGTCTGTCTCTTCTACAGCGGAGCTTTCTTTTGTTCTTTTCTTTTTTTGAGACAGAGTCTCACTCTGTTGCCCCGGCTAGAGTGAGTGCCATGGTGTCAGCCTCGCTCACAGCAACCTCAAACTCCTGGGCTCAAGCGATCCTCCTGCCTCAGCCTCCCGAGCAGCTGGGAATACAGGCATGTGCCACCATGCCTGGCTAATATTTTATATTTTTAGTTGTCCAGCTAATTTCTTTCTATCTGTAGTAGAGACGGGGTCTCATTCTTGCTCAGGCTGGTCTCGAACTCCTGATCTCGAGCAATCCGCCCGCCTCGGCCTCCCAGAGTGCTGGGGTTACAGGCCTGAGCCAGGCCTCTCTTCAGTTTCTTCATCTGCCTGGTCTGTTGCCAGAAATGTTAACTGCCCGAGGCTGTTGCCACAGCCACTTCTCCCCTACTTTGCCATCATAAACAAACAAACAAACAAAGGCGGATGTTTCTCTGCTCAAAGCAAAGGCACAGCTGGCGAGAAGGACAGTAGTGTGGACGTGGAGGACGGCACGTGGAGGATGGCAACCCTTGCACAGCCGGTGGCTTGGCCCCATGGGGGGAGGGGGGCATCTTGGAGTTCCTCAAAGGGGCAAAGGCTGAGCTGCCCTGCGGCCGCGGCCCCTCACCCTGGTGCGTCCCTGGAGGTTCCTCGCAGGGACAAAGGCTGAGCTGCCCTGCGGCCGCGGCCCCTCACCCCGGTGCGTCCCTGGAGGTTCCTCGCAGGGACAAAGGCTGAGCTGCCCTGCGGCCGCGGACCCTCGCCCCGGTGCATCCCTGGAGGTTCCTCGCAGGGGCAAAGGCTGAGCTGCCCTGCGGCCGGGGACCCTGGCCCCGGTGCATCCCTGGAGGTTCCTCCCAAGGGCAAAGGCTGAGCTGCCCTGCGGCCGCGGCCCCTCACCCCGGTGCGTCCCTGGAGGTTCCTCGCAGGGACAAAGGCTGAGCTGCCCTGAGGCCGAGGCCCCGCGCCCCGGTGCACCGAGAGGAGAGGAAACAGGTTCACCCAGAAAGCTGGGCACGGAGGCTCTCAGCGGCGCCGCCACGCTGGGCAGAGGCCGGAGGCAGCGAGGACGCCGCCAGCGGTGAAGGGGTGAGCGAGTCGTGCTGCGTTCGCAGACGGAGTGTCGCCCGGCTGGGGAAAGGACGCGGCCCTGATTCCTGCCCAGGTTGCTGTCCAGCTGCCCGGGGATCCCGGCCTCGCTGCCTTCACGTGCGAGGAGAGCGGGTTTTGCTCAAATCCTCCCCCTCGAGCTTCTGGGAAGTTTCCACTGTATCCTCACCCCAGTTTTCTGCAGCTGCTTCTTAACCTCAGAACATTCCCGCCATCTCTGTCTTGCGTGTTCTTCTCTGCTACCTTGAAATGCTCGCTCCCACCCCTTTAATGATAGCCTGTTAGAAACTGCTGTGCAACGAGCAAAACCAAAGCCTAAAAAAAGAACAGGAGGGTTGGGGGACCCCGTGGGAGGGGAAGGAAGCATGGTCCTCATCGGGGTTTTATTACCATGTTTCCTCGAAAAGAAGACGGGGTCTTGTCTTTATTTTTCCTCAAGAAGACACCCTAGGGCTTATTTTCAGGGGATGTGTTATTTTTCTTTAAGTACGCTACAACGATCTACATTTATTCAAATAGAGTCAAGTCGTCTTCTGGAACATCATCATAACTCTCCAAACCCCGAATCCCATCCTGAATTTCTTGTGACTCTATTTCCTTTAGATCCATCGCCCCCGATCTCTCATGTCGAGCAACAGAGCTCTCACAGGGAGATGGGCTGCTCGTCTTCTTTCCTGCTCCGCGACGACATGCATGGGTTGTGCAGATGCGCTGTGTAGCCACGCCCGTCACTAGGTCTTATTTTCGGGGTGGGTAGGGCTTCTATTGCGCAGATGCTTAGAAATCCTGCTGGGGCTTATTTTATGGGCAGGTCTTATTTTTGGGGAAACATGGTACTTAGGAGTCAAGTTGCGTAGTGATTACGATTTCACACGTAGTGACGTTTTCAACCCCTGGTTATTGATTTCTCTTACACATCTTCTCTACTTTGCTTCCCAGATGCTCATTCGTTGATTTTAGCAGCCAGGTAACGTTTTACCCCGTGAAAATTAGCTTGGGGGTTTGCAACGTACAAACCTAGCGAGTTCTGCCCTCAGACCGGGAAGTGGCACAGTGTGGTTGGGGGGTTCAAGCCACTTCCAGCCCTTTCCTCTGTGGGGCTCACTCTTTCAGAGGGAGACGGATGGTCTCGGGCGACATAGGAGAATCGCTGTAGAGGCGACGCACACTCGTGCTCCGGGAGCTCGAGTGAGCGTGGATGCCACGGGCCGGGCTGACGCGGAGAGTGGCGATTGTCGTGCGTGGTCTGCGCGGGGCGAGCAGAGACGCGGCCCAGGTGTGCCCGGCACTGAGTCGGGTTGTCAGAAAACAAAGCAAATCGCACAGCAGTATTTTTTTTTTAATCTAGAGGCATGTTAGTCATTTACCTTCCAAAGCAGTGTTTGCTAATTGCGTGGTCCCCTGCAGGTCTATGTTACATGTGTGTGCGTGAACATGATGGCACATGGCCTGTTGTCCTGGGTGACACTTATGCAGTGCCTTTTTTTTTTTTTTTTGAGACAGAGTCTCACTGTTTCCTGGGCTAGAGTGAGTGCTATGGCATCACCCTGGCTCACAGCAACCTCAGACTCCTGGGCTCAAGCAATCCTCCTGCCTCGGCCTCCCGAGTAGCTGGGACTACAGGCATGTGCCACCATACCCGGCTAATTTTTTCTATATATCTTTAGTTAGCCAATTAATTTCTTTCTGTTTTTAGTAGAGACGGGGTCTTGCTCTTGCTCAGGCTGGCCTCAAACTCCTGAGCTCTAAACGATCCGCCCGCCTTGGCCTCCCAGAGTGCTGGGATTACAGGTGTGAGCCACCTGGCCCGGCCCACAGCTTCTTAAATATGCGGAGACCTCGCTCGGGGCGTCACACATTTTACTGGCCCGATCTCGGTGCCTGATGGGAGGAAACGGAGGCCCGGGGAGGAGGCCACGTGGCTTGCTCAGTGGCTGGGCCCTGGGTGCTGGGTCTGCCACGGCTGCAGAGCCTCCTCTGGCCTCCGCTCACTCTGGGTCCTGGGACACCTGCCGCAGGCGCCGTGCGGGGCCAGTGGCTCCGGCTGCCTCCACACATCCTCTGTGGTCCTCACGCGTGTTTGGATGCCTCCCGGGGGTGGCTGGAGGACGGGGCCTGCGGGGGGACGGGCCCAGCTGGGGCCGAGGTCTGGTCTGTCCGTGAGGAGTGGCCTGCTCCGTAGTCACGGCCCGACTTTTACCCCATGCTGTGGAGTCAGGTCTGAGATAAAAGCGACCCGGCATGGACAGAGAAGTGGAGGGTGGAAGCCCCACACTCGGGGCGTGGGCAGCCCGGGAAGGGGCAGTTCTGCGCCGCTATGACGCCGTGCGCCGCGGACGCCGCGCCATGTGGCTCCTCCCAGATGATCCCCGGGCGCCGCACCCACGGGACAGGAGGGGACAGTGGTGCCGGCCTGGGCGGGGGAGGGCGTGGCCGTTTCAGGGGCCGGGCCCGGGTTGGGCTTGGAAGGTTCCGGAGATGGTGGCGGTGACGACCTCGAGAGTCAGGCGCCCTGACGCTGTTGAACTCTCGCTCGGAAACTGGGGAGGCGGCGAACTTTATGTCACGCGTGTTTTGCCACCATTTAAAAAATTAAAGGGCCTAATGTGGGTAAAAGTTCCCAGGCGGACGGGAAATTTCCCTGCCCCGATCGCCACGTCCCGGAGGTTGGCGTGTGTGAGTTTGCGTTTCGGCAGCACGCAGGGTGTTCGGGAAAACCCAGCCGGCGCGTGGCGCCCGTGAGCGTGGGGACGTCGGGCGCGTCTCCGTGGAGCGAGCCTGTTGTCTGGGGACGTGTCCGTGACTGGCAGGTGGACACACGTTTCCGAGCTAAACGGATGACACGTGTCACCTTTGCCTTTTAGGTGAAGCCAAGAATCTGCCCTCCTACCCGGGGCCCAACAAGATGCGGGACTGCTACTGCACCGTGAACCTCGACCAGGAGGAGGTGTTCAGGACCAAAATCGTGGAGAAGTCGCTCTGGTAATGTCCTCGTCTCTGTTGTGATCCGATGCGGCTTTCCTCTTTTGCGGAGCAAAAATCCTGCCCACGCGTGTGTCTCGAGGTTTTCCACCTGGTCTCGTCTGGGCGCCGAAGGTGGAGAGCTCGCCGGGCCTCTGCATTGCAGGGCGGTGGGGTCAAGGGTGGATCCGCGTGTGGCCACGTGGCCGGCGACCGTCCTGACACCAGGACTCCGAGCAGGTGTGTGTGACCACCGGCAAGGACACACATCCCAGGGAAGAGACCTGGGAAAAGTTATTGGTACAGTTTGAGGAAGAGAGGAGCCAGCCAAGGAAAACCAGCTCTCACCCTCACCCCTAACCCTCACCCTTAACCTTTACCCTCACCCCTAACACTAAACCCTAAACACTAACCCTCACTGTGACACTAACCCTAACCCTAACCCTCACCCTTAACCCTTACCCTCACCCTAAACACTAACCCTCACTGTGACCCTAACCCTAACACCTCACCCTGACGCTAAAGTCTAACTCAAAACCCTTGCTGTCACCATGACAGAAACCCCTCACCCTAATCTCACCCTCACACCTAACCCTAACCCCGGACACTGAACCTTCACTCTTATCCTAACCCTAAACCCTAAATCTAAACCCTCACCTTCACCCTAAACGCTAAGTCTAAATCCTCAGTCACTCACGCCTAACCCTAACCTCACTCTAAACCCTCACCCTTACCCCGAATCCTAAACACTCACCCTAAACCCTACCTCTAAACCCTCACCCTAAGCCAACCGTCACCTTAAACCCTAACCTTCACCCTAAACCCTAACTCTAAACCCTCACCATAACCCTCACCCTGACCCCTAACCCTCATCCTGAACCCTCACCCTCACCCTGACCCCTAACCCTAAACCCTAACTCTAAACCCTCACCATAACCCTCACCCTGACCCCTAACCCTCATCCTGAACCCTCACCCTCACCCTGACCCCTAACCCTAAACCCTAACTCTAAACCCTCAC